TTAACCAAACACATTCACGAGTGGTTTCATGAATTGCTATTATTTCAGTATGATTCGATGAAGTGGCGGCTAATGATTGTTTAGTAGATCGCCAAGAAATGATTGTACCTCCATATGTAAATAGATAACCAATTTGAGATCTTGCTTTATTCGGATCAGATAAATATCCAGCATCAGCATAACCAAGCAATTTAAACTTAGATTTATTTGAATAAAATAAGCCAAGACCAATTGTTCCTTGGAGATAATGAAAAATATGTTTAATACCATTCTAATGTCGTCTTGTGGGCGATGAACTAAATCTTGCTAATAAATTCACTGTAAATGATATATCAGGTCTTGTACAATTAGCAAGATACATTAGTGCATCAATTGCACTGAGATATAGTACTTCAGAACCAAGTACCTCTTCATCTTCCTCTCGCGGTCTAAAAGGATCCTTATTAGGATCTAATGATCTGACGACCATTGAGGTACTTAATGTATGTGTCTTATCTATACAAAATTGCTTTAATACCTTCCGAGCATAAGTAATTTGGTGGACAAAAATTTCACTTTTCAAATGCTCAATTTGTAAATCAAGGCAGAATTTTATTTTTTCAAATTTTTTTTATCTCAAATTCCTTCTTCAAATATTCAATACTATTTTGAATCTCTTCAGGAGTTTCAATTAGATTTAGATCATCAACATATACAGAAATTATCACAAAATTTGACTCATTTTTCTTGATAAAAATACATGGACATATTGAATTATTGGTATAACCTTCTTTAGTTAAACATTTATTGAGGCAATTATACCACATACGTCCAGATTGTTTGATCCCATACAAAAATATTTGTAATTTAATACAATAAATATCTTTAGAATTTGATTTGCACGTTTTAAGCATGTTGAATTCTTCGAAAATTCTTAAATAAATATCATTTTCAAGATTCTCATATAAATATGTATTAACGACATCCATTAGACGCATATCTAGTTTTTCATGTACTGCAAAACTCACAAGATATCTAAATGTGATAGCATTCACTACAGATGAATACGTTTTATTATAATCAAATCCAGACCTTTGTGAATTTTCTTGGGCTACAAGTCTTGTTTTATACCTCGCAATTTCATGTTTCTTATTTCATTTTCTCACAAATACCCATTTAACCTACTGGCTTTACACTTTCAGATGTTTGGACTACAAGTGATAGGGTGCATTTTAGTAGATTATTTCGCTGATATTTTATAGTTGTTTGGACTAAATGCGTACTATTTGGTGGATTCTATTAGGTTGTGTATTTGGTGTTAATTGCAGGAAGTAGTGAAAAAAAGGTGTTGAAAATCAACATTTCAAAAGACATCCTGATAATTAGGCGTGCCCACGTCTAACTCCAACCTTCAAGATCGGATTCTCGGGATTATTCGCACATGGGAAGCTCCAAAAAAATGAGTGAAGTAGCTGGCTACAAATTGAAAAATCAGTGGGGTCACTCCAAAGGAGAGCAAAAGTTGAAGAAGTTTCATTGTAATAGGATTGTTATTTAGGAAGTAATTGGTATTTGGATACCAATTAATTAGGAGAAAAAGTAGGAAGAATGAGAGATTTAGGAACCTTTTTGGTGGCTAGAAACGCAAAGAAGAAATTGTACTTTCTTTGGTCTTTGAGTTTTTCTGGCTTCTTGGCAAAACTTGGAGGAAACCAACAAAAAAAGCTACAATTATTGACTTGTTCTAATTCTTTTGTTTTCCCTGTTTGACCGAATTGGAGAGACATCAGACTCTCTTTATGCTTTTGCTAGAGACAAACGAAGGCAACGATATTTCTTGTTCTTTTCTTCTCTGTTGACCGATTTTGGGGAGACAAGAATTGACGGTTTTTCTCAATTATTTTGCATGGCTTGTTCTCCATTAATGGAGAACTAACTTCTTATTTTTAGTCAAGAAGACAACTGAAGATTTGGTTCAACAATAACTGTGAAATATAAATTATTTTAACTGTTTCCTTCATTTATTGGTATTTGTATGTTTTCTGCTTTTAATTGTTATAGCTATCGTGTATGATTAAATAGATGCGCAATATTTAATTATTCACGTAGGTTATTTGCTAATTGAGGTAGTTGAATCTGTAATTGTTCGATTACTTCCGTCCCAGTAGCAACTGGCATAATTGGATTTATGTCAGGAAAACATACGATCTAATTTAAACAAACCCTCGTAGCATGTTTATTAGTTAGGGTTGAATTTTTCTAATTCTTAATGCAATCTAAAAATTAAATCCTACGGTCATACCTAGGGTTATTTTCTGGTTAGAGAAATAGTTAATGGTTGTACTTTAACTATCGAAAAAATAAGAAAATGTTGGTTGTTTATCGCGTGTATGACAACTATAATCAATCTATTAATAAATGTTGGAATTATATTTGAATCGATGATCAGTTGCATGAACGATGTCTGAAGTGTATTCTTGGCTAGAGTTTCTTCGATTATTTCTCTTAATTAATTATTTTTCACATTTAATTTATTTAGTTGGCAATTCATTAACATTTAATTCTAAAATCCCCCGTTTGTCTTGACTCAAAAGGAACGAACTTTTTCTAGATCCCTGAGGAAACGACCCTACTTGTCACTGTCTACTAGTTAGTAAATTTTGTCAGTTAATTAATTCTGATATATCGGATTAAGCAAACTCTTCGGAACCAGAGTGAATCAAGTAATCCATTGCACATCTAGAGTGTCTGCTCCAATACTTGGAATTGATTATTGACTGTTTTTTATGGTAGTTAGGTTTTTATTATTATTGCACATGCTTGGTATCTATCAATTTTTGGCGCCGTTGCAGAGGACTGGTGCTGGAATTATTTCTCTTTTTGAGTTCAGATTATTTTTGATACTTTTGCTAGTTTATGCTCCGTTCTTCTTGACAGGTGAATTGATATACAACCCTGAGATTGAGAAGGTAGTGCGTAGGCGAAAGCAAGAGACCAAGGAACGAAAATAAGGACAGTCATCTACTGCAGATGAGTCAGTAGAAGACGAAATTAGCATGATTAATAACCAAACACTAAGGGAGTTGGTTGTCCTGGAGTTGACCCACCAGCCTTTGTGCATTACCTCTTATTGGCATTGGCAACCCGTTTACTAGCTATTTCAAACTCATGAGTTGAATCAATGAGGTTCGATCCTCTTGATCTCAGCCTATCTTTTGTATCTCAGGACGGCATTAGTTTTAATTGTGTTATAATGTACATTGTGGCATGCACAAACAACAGCCGGCCAGAATTCTTCGATAATAATCATGAATTTCTGCTTGGTACACTGGTCATTCCAATGTTGGGCGCCTTTATATATACCTTGAATAATCATCAGAAGCGATCACACCATAATCAACCATTCAAGATATCAGCTTGAAGAAAAAATTGTACCATTATACACATCTACAAATGGCTCAGACTAAGATGGCAACTTTTCTCTCCATTCTTCTCCTCATCAGCTTGGCCGAAAGCAGAAATTTAGGCCGTAAGTATTAACAATTTTGAAGCTTAATTGCCTTTTCTTTTCTTTTTTTTTTTGTTGGGTTTGGAATCTGATTCATATTTTCTCATGACATTTTCTTGAAACACTAGATAATGAAGTTAAACTAGCGACAGCTGAAGCAGCATCCCCAGCTTGCAACTCGGTCCACGGAGCTGGAAAAGGCGACACTTGCTTTAGCGTTGCCCAGAACTTCAATCTGGAATTCCAATCATTCCTTGATATAAATCCCAATATCAACTGCGACAAAATCTTTGTGGGTCAATGGCTATGTGTCCAGGGTTCTCTATTTTCTTGAATGGAGTTTGCTAAAATGGCAATGATATGGAGAAAAATAAAGGAGGGTTACACTTGAAATGATGTAGCTCGTCCCCCTTTTTTAAGTATTTTGGTTTTTCCTTCAAAATAATTTTGTAAACGCTGCATGCAATTTTATTGTAATGGTTGTTTTCATTTGCAGCCTATTAATGCCAAAGAGGGTCCTTAAAAGGGTTTATCTTCGTGTAATTCTTTGACAATTCTAATAATATTTGAATGATGCAACTTTCATTATGTTACACTTTTGGAGGAAAATCTAACTATACATTTTGGAGATTTTGACAAATTAAAGAATTGACCAAAAGATAACAAGAATTGGTTGATGTTTTTGTTCGTACGATCACTACCATTGACCTTTGCAGAAACAAAACTATATAATTTGCATCCTGTGGCATTATATCACATACTTACATAAGAAGGATTTCTCTAACCATGCTCACTTGGTATTTACTAGTATACCTAAATTACATACCATAATTTATCATATCAATACATATATTCACTTAGACACTTTTTTTTTCAACTAAATTTATTTTTACAAAAAAAATAATATATCACTGGATACTCGTTAGTCAAACTCTTATAAAAAGCAACTTAATTGATTGAAATTGAGCATGTATAGTGAATAAGATAACTATAATGTATTAAAATTTGTTTGGTTATGGCATTATTTGACTTTTTCCTTTCCCCAAGAAAAGGCTGTTTTTTATTTGTTATTTTAAAAATTTTTCATTTCACGTGTGTTGAAATTGAAGAAGACAAACTGGGCCAAATTCAATTAATTGGACTAGGCCAATATTGCTACGACCCAACACCACAACATCATTAGGCCCCCACTCTTAGGCAGGCTGGCCGGCGCGTCTGATTTTTGCTAATCAATGCGGATTAAGCTTTAAATCTAATCGGAGCGTCTGAAGCAGCCGTTTTAATATCCAATGGCCAAGATGGAGCGGAGCCTCAACGTTTAAGTTTATCTCTAACGGTCAGAAAACTCAAAAACAAAACCAAAAAAATCCTCACATAAATTTCTCCATTATTTTACCCCATTTTCTCTCCTACAATTCACATTAAGAATCCCCTCAAGAAATCGTCGAAACCCCACCATCCATTTCTATTTTTCACAAGAAATCATCAGATTTTGAAAACCCGAGTGAGGAAAATGAGTGTTTTACAATACCCAGAGGAGATGAATTCATCAGATCTTCAGATATGGAACAATGCAGCCTTCGACAATGGAGATTCTGAAGATTCATCGGCAATACTTAAATGTTCTTGGTCTCCTCTGAAACCCCAGTTTTTGAATCCTTCTGATTCACTTGAATCTTTTTCGAGTAAAGAAAATGAAAATCAGACTCATCAGTTCCAGCATTCCTCTATTTCATCTGTTTCTTCACTGAAGTCTCCAATGTCCCAGCCACTCAAGGTTCTTGATCCGAATGGGCCGGTTGACAGCTCAAGAATAAAGTCAATTAAGGGGTATTATAACCAGGGTTTTGCAGAAAAGCCGATTTTGAGGAGTAACAATGAAGGGGAGGTTCATGATGAGAAGAAGATTGATAAGGAAATTGAGGAAATTGAGATGGAAATCAGCAGGCTTTCTTCAAGATTAGAGGCTTTGAAGATTGAAAAGGCTGAGAAAAGTGTGAAAATGTCTGAAAAGAAAGGAAGGATTGTGGCTGCAAAGTTTATGGATCGAAAACTGGTTGGAAAGAATGCAGAGGAGAAGAAAAAGATTGAAGAAAGTTTGGCTACGAGTGCGAAAACCAAGGTTCAGAGAAGAGGGCTAAGTTTGGGTCCATCAGAGATTATGGCTGGGGCAAGAAGGGGTATGAGTTTGGGACCATCTGAGATACTTTCTGATGTCAAATCCCGGCAATTTGGTAAAAAAGAGAGTACGATTACCCCTGTTCAGCCTATTCAGAGTAGGCGAAAATCGTGTTTCTGGAAGCTGCAAGATATTGCAGAAGAGAAGGTGACTAAAGAAAGGAGAAAAAGCTTGAGTGTTAGTCCGAAATCAAGAAAAAATTTAGCAGGAAAAACTCAGGGTTCAAGGCAGGCAGTCACCACAGTTGCATCAAAGAAGACTGTGAAGAAAGAAGAGATGTTTGGTAACTCTGTTCAACCGAAAAAGTTGTTCAAAGATGCTGAAAAGTCAGTTACAGCTACTAATAAGAAGCCATTGAGGCCAGGGAGGGTTGTTGCGAGCCGCTATAATCAGAGTAGTAGTCAGACCTCAGCAATGAGAAAGAGATCTTTGCCTGAAAATGACAAGGATGAAAACAAGAGATGTGATAAGAAACGCTCTCTGTCAGCTGGGAAATCGCGTGAAACACTGCCAGAAAAGAAGAATTTAGGCACCGAGAGCAGCAGGGTGAAGAAGAGATGGGAAATTCCCGCTGATCTTGTTGTTCATAGTTCTGAACCTGAGAGTTCTTCTCCAACGACCTCTGTTGTGCCTGAAATACTTCCAAGAATTCGTATTGCTAGGTGCATTAATGAGTCCCCCAGGGACTCTGGACCAGCCAAAAGGGTAGCTGACTTGATAGGAAGGAAGCAATATTTTGCTGAGGATGAAGAGGAGGAGCCATCATCATTGTGCCAAGCCCTAAGTTTTGCAGATGATGAGGTTTAAATATCTGATAAAAATGATGAAAATCATGGAGGTCTCTCAGTCTCCACAATCTATTTCTTGATTCTAGTTCTATGAAATTTAAGTCAATTGATGCTTGAGTCTGTAAACTTTGGTAAGCAGGTGAGCATTCTTGTGCTCACTCCTAAGTGATACATGAGATTATGAATCAATCCTCTCATCTATGGTGTATCTGCAATAAGCTGTTCTATGGATTTATGTGTGAATACTGAGTTTTGCTTCACTATTAAACCTAAGCAAGAATTATAGGCCTGAAAAAGAATCTGTTTTTCATATCAGATTCGACCTGATGAATTACTTAAAGGTGTGAAACCCCTAAAGCATGGAAAATTGAGCACAAACTGAAACTGAAAATATATATCAAGTCGCACTAAATAGAGATTCTAGCAATGAAGCAAAAAGACTGAAACTCAAGATGAGTGTACGTGTTGCATTTGGATCTTTTGCTTCCTACATATAGTACTCAAGAAGGCCATAGACAAAAAATTGTTTACCATAGAAAAAATCTTTCCTCAGTTTTCTTGCTGAATTCATCACATAATTAGGATTCAAAGATAAGGCCTGATGCTTCCTTCCTTTGGGCAGTTTTATTGACAGCTACTTAGTAGATTGAGAGTTTGAGATTATATGTGATAAACACTTGGCTTGAATTGGAATGTTTTCTTTTTCTTCACCTCTAGCTGACTACTTTAGCATCAAGTGTCAAGCATGTAATGCAAAATGTATTTTCTAAGAAAAATAATAATCATGCACTTCAAAGAGATAGTAAGCTTTTTAGTTTCTTGAGTATCTAACAGTCGCATTGCATCAATTGAACTGAAAATCCTAGCTCACAAAATGTGTCTTATCTACATGTAACCAACATAAGGATCAATAGGGAGAGATGGTCCAAATTACAACTTTCTGTCCACAGAAGAATTAAGGGCTAAAATTCAATATTGCTATTTTTTTGGCTTATGAACTTGGAAATCAATAAGAAAAATCAGCCAAAGACAAACAAAGTAGTTTGTTAATTACTACATGGCATCTAATCATTTTTTTTTCCTAATTATTCTTTCACATCTAACCACTTTGCTCAGCCAAAATTTGTATACATTGGCATGATAGCTACTATCAATCTCAAAAAAGAAACGCGAGAGTGATTAAGAACTTGATAAACTCACCAATAATTTTTTGGAAAAGATTTCTAAGTGCTGGTATTACACTCCACCTCTTCATTTGCTTTCGGAAAGAAGAAAAAAAGCAAGGTAAGAATTTCTTCGAAAGAAACTTTTTCGATTGAATGAATCTGGTTGGATTGGTGATTATTTTAAAATAATAGTATAACAATTTTTATGATGTCATATACATGAGATAAAAAAGTGAATGAAAATATTAAAAATTATTAAAAAATATGTTATGACGTAACAACAAAGAAATTCTCAGATTACATCCCATCCAAACACACAAGGATCCAAATTAAAGAGTTACCCTTGCGTCCATTAGCTATCTCAAAAAAAATGAAAAATGTAGTAGGGTATCTAAAGTTATTTCACAAAAGTAAAGGGGAAGAAAGATACATTTCCAAAAATGTGTGCTAGATTATTTTTTTAAAAAAATAATAACAAAATAGCTAATATAGTTGTCTCCCAGTACTTCTTGTCCAAATTTCAATGCCTCAATTGTCTGTCAACATAAACCCTAAACCCTAGCACGAATTTTTTCTTCGATTAATCCCGAAATCCAAAAATGTTTGCTGCTGCGATTTCCAAGCGCAAAACCCATTTGAGAGTTTCAACATTGTTACGCCACTATTACTGTTCCAGTTGCCGCAGACCTTTTTCATTCACCACTCTGCAGGGGTTCAGAAAAATCCATCTTGTTGTAAGCTCTCAAATTTTCATCTTTCACTTACTTATGTGATATGGGTTTTTCTTTTTTTTTTTTTTGGTTGTTTATTATCTTCTATAAATATATTTCCTCATTTCAAGATTGGGGTTTTAGAGTGAAATATGAAATCAAATAAATCCCACAATTTTGTAATCATGAGAATGTCAATTGGCTAATCTTGGGTTGGCGATAGTGGTAGAAGTTAGGATGCTACTAAAGTTGATGGTGAAAATTCCAGGGAAATAAAATGTGTTTGTAACTTTAGAATTCTGGGAGATGGTTAGATTTTTGCCGAAGTAGAAATGCAGGCTCTATTTTTTTTTGGAGTAGCTTGATGACAAATGATGGCGTTCTTTTAGCTGGTTCAAGAAAGACTCTTTTTTTTCTTTCTTTCCTTTTATTCTTCTATGCTATGCAGAAGGGACATTTAAATGGAATGAATTTAATGGATTAGAGATAAATTTGGGACCTAATAATGATGCAATTTTTAAAGCCCGTCCACAGTTGGTGGGGTTGTTGTCTTGCTAGTTGTGAAATGGCTGGTACCCAAGGGTAGTTAATCTAGTGAGAGAGTGAAACATCTGATGAAATGTGACCTGACCAGGAAATGATTTTTGGATTTATTGTTACCTGTTCTTAGGGAGAACTCTTTGCTTTTGCTTATGTACTCTTCATCTTTCTGTTTTCCTGCTTCTGTTGGGGTGAGCATGAAGAGTGGGTTCCATGGGGAAATATCCCGATATTTGCTTTCTTTAGTGTACCGATGGAGTTGGCCTCTGATAGAGGTAGAGGTATTTGTACCTCTGTATAAGGACATATTGTATTTTTGAACTTGGGGATGATGGTCTTACTCGTCTGATGATATTGGTTTCTGGTGTCTGTTTTGGTATGATTTTTTCAATTTTGTTTTCTGAACCTGACTGTAAGCGTGTTTGAACCAAAAATTTTTGTTTTTTTGACTGCCGGTAGATCAATTATTAGTAACTCTGCCATTCCCTTTTATTCATCTTTTGATTTGTTATTAGTTGCTAACCAATACACACTTTGCTTGGGACAATATTGTACAGTTGTTTTAGCGAAGGATGGTAGATGTCTTATTTTTTGGTTTTTAATTAATTGCTGGCTTTCTAATACAGAATTCTGTTAAATCCATCCCAATAGGAGCCTTCTGGATTTGGCCGTTCTTCCAAATTCTGAGTTATTATGTTTCTAGTCATCGTTCAATTGCAACACAAACTTCTCCTTCTCATGATATGCATGATAGAATTTTGAATGAAATACTTTCCGAGTTGGAGAACTCTGCAATTTCTTGTGAGAAAATATGTATCTCCAAGATTGATAAGCTATGTAGTGCTGGAGACCTTACAACTGCTGCTAGACTATTGCGGTCTTTACGTGAGCAACGAATCTTTCTTGGCCCTCGAGCATATAATATCCTTCTTCAAGCAGCAGGTGAACAAGATGACACTGATATTCTATTACACACTTTCAAGGATTTATTGGTATTCTGTAATTCTATTAAGTCGGCTTCCTGTCAGATCCTTGCCAAGGCTCTGGTTAAGGAAAGTGATGATGTTTTCTTGTTGAAATTTGTCAGAGAAGTTTCAGAATTGATAATTCCAATAAGTGCAATCACTTTGAACAGGATCATATTTGCCTTTGGTGAGTTTAGACAGATTGATAAAGCTCTGATAATATTCGAGGAAATGAAGAATCTGAAGTGTAAACCAGATTTGGTTACATATAACACTATTTTAGTGATATTGGGCCGGTGTGGTCAGGTAGATGATATGCTTCATAAGTTTGCTGAAATGAAAGAGGCCAATATTGCTCCAGATACTATTTCTTATAATACCATTATAAATAGTTTACGCAAAGTCGGTAGGCTTGATTTATGCTCAGCATTTTTTAAAGAAATGGGTGAAAGAGGAGTTCAACCTGATTTGCAAACATACACACCATTGATTGACAACTTTGGAAGGTCTGGGAACATTGAGGAAGCACTGAGACTTTTTGATGAGATGAAGCACCGAAGAATTCGCCCATCGATTTATGTCTATCGTTCGCTAATTAGTAACTTAAACAAGATGGGGAAGTTGAAGTTAGCTACAAAATTTTCAAACGAGATGGATGCATGTCTTTCAGGTCTTGTTGGTTCAAAGGACTTCAAAAGGAAAAAGAGATAAATGAACTCAAAAGAGTTGATGTTTGGTTTCTTTTTGACTCTGCAATCTCAGAGAAACCCTTTTGCTGAACTCTGCATCTTTGTTGGATATCGTGGGTCAAAAGGCATTATACGGTATGTTCTGAAAAACCATTTATCTCGAGGTTCAAGATTTGTTAAGAGTCTGCAATACTTAGGGATACTTTGCATGGTTTGATGTTCAGAAGTACTGCAGTAACAAATGGAATAACATGAATTTACTCAACTCATTGTCATGCTTAAAGAGAGCACTAAGTGGACTTCCTTCTTTTGATTATAAGTCTGGAAAATCTGGGCGTACATGACTTACAGCTGGTTGTATCTGTCCGCTTGCTAAATGTTTCATCGGCTAGTAGGAAACTCGAGCAATTTTGAAGATTGTAATGGACCTCTTAGCCTTTGGATTAACAACCGTTGCTGTGCTGTGAACAAGATCTTGAGTAAAGATGCTACATGGTTATCCTCAAATGATAAACTAGCGTTGGGGATCGTGGCCGCAGTGGTACCATTGATCTCCTTGGTACAATTTTGTGTGTCTGCTAACCTGTTAGATATGCAGGCATATGTAGATTGATTCTGAAGATGTACGTAATGTTTGTACCATTCCATATCTCTGGTGGCTGGTGACTTGTGCTTTGATAATCTGGTTATAGGTCTAGAAGCTTAAAGTAAATATGCTCATTTGTAATTGTTATTTTTTCATTATTTGTCTTTGTAGATTTTTTAATGAGGATTACTGGTTGACATGTTAAAAGTAATGCTCTATGTAAATTAAAATTCAGAAAGTTTTTTAAGACAAAAAGCCTTACTCTTTTACCTGCATCAATTCGAGTCAAGCTTTTGTCTAATTGAACCGAACCTCAAGTTAATTTTATGAATTCAAGCCCGACGAGTTCAAAATTTCGAACTCGAGTTCGAGTTTAAAAATATAATTAAGCTTATAAGTCGCTCGCGAGCTAATGAGTTTGGTATTTTTGAGTTTGAGTTCGAGCTCGACTCGAATTTGATATTGATCGAACTCGTATTCGAGCCATTCGCTGCAGCCCTATGCATCATGATATGAAAAAAAAGATATGCAACAGATGAGCCAACTACTGGTGCAAATGACTTAAAAAACGAATCCAAACACACAGTTGCCAAAACGATAGGGGAGTTAGGTACTATCTGAAGCAACATGACAAAATTTTCTCAGTATCTGTAGCAAGAAATATTGGAAAGTGAAAAAGTTCTCTGCAGTTTCATGTCTGAGATCAGTCTTCAAATCCGACTTGAGTCCCTTCCGAAGATGAAACGTCTTCCCCAGTCAGATATTACTAGCAGCCTTGTGCGCCAACTTACTAGCTTGCTGGATTTGAAACAAAGCAAAACGTGAAAAAAGAACTCAAAGTGGAACCAAGTACAGTTCAGGGGAACAAAGAAATCAAAACTTGCGGGCATATAAGTGATAGTAGTATTTTTACCTAGCATAAACTGAATACCAAAGCCACTGCGTGCTATGACCTATGGAAACCCAATCTCCAGGGAGTTGTGCTGCAGCTTGTTCTCCACCCAGTGGTGCAAATTGTCCAAAGTGTTTGTACCTTTAACCGTAAAAGTCAGCAGATATTACGCAAAATAGCCAAGATCAGGGACCATTATTCTTTACTGTTTGGTAAAAAAATTTATTGACTGCAGTGGTTGCAAATCTATTATGATCTGGTTCCATAAAAACCTTGTCTGAGACAAACTAGCTAGTGCGTTCTTCTCACTTTATTGCTTCACGAAGGGCAGTAATTTGAAGATTGGCTGTTATATCAACCTATTAAGAGCTTTTGCAAATTGCAAAAACGAAAAAAAAAAAAAAAAAAAGAAAAGATATCGTCTGAAGTTCTATATGTAGATTAATCCTTACCTAAATGGACGGAAGCGATGCCTTCCTGCTGCTCTGAACCTTATTGGCCCTTCAGGATACTTTTCACAGATATCCATGCGGTTGAAGCAGTCAGCAAGATAAACTCCTTGTTGGGAAGCCACCTGAGTACCGAACATCAAAAAAAAGAGGAAGCTAAGCTCAAGCAAATCAGCCACACTACCCAAAAAGAAGAAAAATCCTTTCCAGTTTCCACTTACCTGTGCTGTTGGAGGAAGACTTTTCATCTGTTTGTCCACTTCAGCAAGTGCTTGTTTGAATTTCTCGATGTTCAGTTCATCCTCGCCGTCTTTACTCTTCAGTAGTTGAAGAAAATTCCTTAGTTGGTTTTTCTTCAGATGAATCTGCACCTGGGGATACCTTTCAGCAATGTCTTTGATAACCCCTTTAAAATCATCTACCTTCAGGGTACCAGAGTTATTCTCATCGGCTTTACTAAATATTGCAGCGATATCTTCCTGATAAAAGATCAAATCCAAAGATTACAGCTGATATCTTCCTCAAAAAACAAAACAAGTATCCAAAGATTTGCTACGTAATCTCGACCATAGGCCTCGCATACTATGGCAAATGATGCATCTTAAGGAAGTCGGTCAAGGAGGACGCGAAAATAGCAGCTAAAGAAATGTGAACTGTGACTTAAATCCAAAGACTCAGGTTGTGTATTGCTGCTCATGCTAACAAATTAAGTAGAAATAATTGTTGCATACCATTACTTTGCGTTGGTTGATTGTGGCGCAGTCACCTAATGCGTATATGCTATCGCAACCTTCCACCCGCAGCCATTCATCAGTTGCCAGAACGCGTCTATTGGTCTGTCATCCACACAAAGTAAAAAGTTGAGCTTAGCAATTTATATGTGATAGCAGATGATAACAAAAACTTTGGCGTAAGAAATGTTTGTAGCATTGAAATTCAAGTGCCAAATCGAAAAATCAGGCGTACAGTTCTGAAATCAAATAGAAGGATTAGAGCCGCATGCCATACCTGACCAATCTGCTTCATAAAATCCATGATAACAGGTCGAGTTCCAATGCCAGTAGACCAGACAACCATTCCAAAAGGGATTTCTACAGTTTTACCAGAGCTCCTCTCTTTAGTGGATATCTCCTTATCAGATACCTTTACAACCATCGATCCAGTTTTTACATCAATTCCATCTCTCTGAAACTTTTCTTCAGCAAATTCAGTAATTCGCTTATCAAACCTGGATAAAACAAAGGGAATGAACTGTGAAAACCATCCACAACTGCCAAAAGCAAACAAGGTGATTTGGAGAATCCATGTAACTTTCAGACACATGTGCAGGCGACAAGGAATTGTAATTTTAACATGATCAAGCTCCTGCATTTTGATTGCTGACATACTCTACTGAACTTCTATGCCATAAATGATTTAAACACCCTCCTGTTTTTTGTAGTACAATCAACTGTTGAACCAAAATTTCGTCGTAAAATAAAATACAAAGTAAAACACTAGTTACAACACAGAGCATGCTGATGCAAAGCATTGGATATAAGCATGCTTAAAAAAAGAACATTCTGCTTAGCTTCTAATTCGAGAAAAACAAGACTAGTTTCTTATCATATATAATAATAATATAATGTCAAATGACTAATTAGCATATTAGCTGTAGGAGGCCTTCCTTACATGTTCAGAATGTGATCCGCAGCTTCAAGAAGTGTTATTTTGACATGTTGCTTAAGAGCAGGGTAAAGCTTGGCTAAATCCTCATTGACGAAATCATGAAGCTCTGCAGCAAATTCCACACCAGTTGGACCACCTCCAACAACTACGAAATGCAGGATCCTCTTTTTCTCTTCTTCACTTACAGTTGGAAGGCTTGCCCTCTCGAAACAGTCTATGACTGTTCTACGGATCCTTTGAGCATCTTCGACTTCCTGAATTCATGTCATTACTTTCACTTCCAACACAAAATAATGGAAATGACACGCACCTACATTTTGTTCTTTTTCTCTAAATGGCATTATGGCTTGTCAAGTTACCTTCAAAAAGTGAGCATACTCCACAACACCAGGGGTGTTAAATGTATTTGCACGTGCACCCATTGCTATAACCAGGTAATCATAATCCACTGTAAATTCTTCTGAACCACCCAAGTTGTTTTCTTGAGTTGAGCGACAGCAGACCTTCTTGTTTACTGTATCAATCTTGTAGCATTCAGCCTCCTTGAAGTGGACATCAAATTTTTTCTGAGGCAGGAAAGCAAGTATAGCTGTCATGTCCTTCAAATGGTTACATAGGTTTGGCTAAGTGTAAACATTACTTATCCACCACTGTAATTCTAAGAAGAAGCATATTGTATCAAACTTTGCAATTATCAAAGAGGTAGACCACTGTGATTGAAGTCCACAATTGCAATAGGTACTTCTACAGATAGAAAAATCATATATAAAGTTGGAATTGTCTTTTTGGCAGATTATAAAGGTTTCATTAGGAATTTAGGACCTGACAGCCAATAGGAATAGGAGAATCAAGGTTTTCTGGTTCTTCCATATTGCAGAACTACGCATCCAAAGATTTGGTATGAAAATGTCCCCTTTTCATGTCTTTTTCAGAATTAATTATTATCACAACATGGTAAATGATCATTTATCTTTGATGCATTGCAAAGTTTCCAAATCATATCAACCAGCAATTATACACAGCTTTTGTAGCAGTCCATAGTTTCTAATTTAAATGTCATTGCCAACTATGTAAGAACATAGAGGAGACATGCCTAAGAGCTAACACCATAACCTTTGAAATTAGCATTGCCTCCTAAAAAGTAGAACATAGAACACAAAAATTTAGTATGAAAATCTATACCTTCCTAACAATGCTGCGGATTGGCTCCACAATGCTGCGTGCTTCAACCGTGCCATTGGTAACACTTGGTAACAAAGGAGTAAATGCAAAATAATTTCGTGGAGAAATAACATGAACATCATAGCTGGGATCTTTCAAGCTTTTAAGAAAGCTTGTTCCAGCCCATCCAGTTCCTAGAACCACCACTTTCTTTTTCTTGACATCATGAGCTGCATCAGCATAGCCAAATTGGAATGGCCTGGCATCAGAGAAAGCAGCCACACCCCCACCACTGCAGAATCCAGAATTCAAGAAAAAAAAAAAAGTATCACATCTCAGATATCTTCAGAACCATTTTTTGAACAATTCTCACCCTGCATAATCTTCGTATCTTTTTCTATTTAATATTAATCTTGTTTGTAGAGCGGATCATGGCATTATATTCTAAAAAAAGAAGTGTACTTCAAGGAAAAAACTTCAATGTAATTGAGGTGCAACTATAAATCTCAAATTTTCTGCCTCATTCACTGTGGTACAAGAAGTGGAAAGTATAACAGTTAGTGTATATTTCTGTTAAGAACAATAAAGTATTAAATTGAATACCAAAAATAGAGTTTCAAAAGGGGTTTATTGAATTTTAAGATGGCAAATAGTTAAGATCTATCATGGCAATTAATAAGGATTTATTCGTCTTCATGAATATGTATAATAGAAGTAGATTCAATTCCTAAGCTCTAACCTTCAATTAAAAAATGCAGGAGCTTACAAGCGTCAAAAATTACCACAAACAGAAGAGAATAAATCCTGACTGCAGAAAAGTTACACCTTACCAGTGAATAAAGCAAATAAAGACATAATTATGAAAAGATTTTATGATACATTATTTTCTTCCAATAACTTCATGGATTCAGTTTTTATCAATGGTGGATTTTTTTACATTAATACGTGTAGATGTATGTTAATTATGTAAAACATGAATTTAAAGATTGAAATTGGATTGCATAGCACAGCATGCATCTACATCTGCTCCGGTTGTG